ACACTCCTGAAGAAAACGGTGTTGCAGAACGATCCATGCGCACCATAGTCTCCAAAGGTAGAGCAATGCTACTTTGAGCAAACTTACCAATTCGGTTCTGGATGGAGGCGGTGAAGAATGCAGTCTTCTTAAACAACCGCACCATGACCACGACTATTCCGAAGAACAAAACCCCTTTTGAAATGTGGTATGGAAGAAAACCAGATATATCCCATATCCGGGCTTTTGGGTGTCTTGCCTATGTGCTCATCAGAAAACCTGACCGCGATAACAAATACGCACCAAATTCTGAACACGGTGTTTTAGCAGGTCATACCGAACACAATAGAAACTACAAGATTTTTACGCTTAAAGATTCTAAGATTGTTATCACACATGATGCTTCTTTTCGAGAAGATGTCTATCCTTTCACACAACTTCCTACTTTTGACATATCTCATTTGACAGCAGATGAAGAAAACGTCGATCAACTCGTCTTACAAACTGAACCACCTGTATTGCCTGCTACTGAACCAGACAACGATATCGATGAACAACTAGTCACTGTAGCAGACGTTCCCATTGAACCCTTACCCGATGTTCTTCCTCAACCTTCACTCCCACGTCGTTCAACTAGGGAGGTGCGGCCGGTAGACCGTTTTATTCCTAATTCTAATTTCGTCTTCTGGTATAACAACAAACTTTATGATGATGTATTCATACCCAGAGGGGACGTCAGCGCTTACGCATTCGCCGTCAAATCAAATGTTCGCCTAATAACTGAACCTGGGTCATACAAGCAAGCCATGAAAAGTACTGATTCAGCTGAGTGGAAGAAGGCGTGTGATAAGGAAATTGAAAACATGACTCGTAAAAACGTCTGGACCATCGTCGACCGTCCGCTGGATGCACCGGTGGTAGGTTGTCAATGGCACTTCAAAATCAAACACCGGCCTGATGGATCCATCATCAAATACAAAGCACGTCTTGTAGCAAAAGGATTTACTCAAACATTTGGTGTTGACTACGATAAAACTTATGCGCCAACTGGTAAACCCGCCTCGTATCGAGTACTTGTAGCAATTGCATCTTATTTTGGTTGGAGCATTCATTCTATGGATGCGGTGGCCGCTTTCTTGAATTCATTGTTAAAAGAGAAGGTTTACATGGAGCAACCGGAAGGTTATGAAAGTCTTGGTAGCGAAGATCACGTCTGTGAACTATTGCGTGCGCTCTACGGGCTCAAGCAGTCGGCCCATGAATGGAACGATGAGTTTAAAACTATGCTGTTCACCATTGACTTTGTTCAGGCTGAGGGTGATGAGTGCGTATTCATTAGACGTCGCTCACAGTTTGATATTATCATTTTTTACTTGCACGTCAACGACATGGCAGTTACTGGCACCGACCAATCCATTCCCGGTTTCAAGAAAGAAGTTATGGCTTTCTGGGAAATGGATGACCTCGGTGAGGCGACTTGCGTGGTTGGAATCGAAACCCTGCGTGTCAGCAAACACCACTACGCTATCCACCAACGGTCAATGACGGAGGCACTCCTATTGCAATTCGGCCTATCAGACTGCAAGCCGGCCTCAACACCCATTCAAGGAGGCTTAAAACTCACCACCTCAACTAGCGAGGAGGCTGCTTCTTTCGCCAAACTCAACCGACCCTATCGATCCGGAGTCGGTAGCTTAATGTACCTGGCACAATGCACACGCCCCGACATCGCGTACGCCGTGGGTGTTTTATCACGTCATCTGGATACCCCTTGCGAGCGCCACTGGGATGCCTTGCAACACGTCATGCGGTACTTGCGAGGTACGCTTAGCCTTGGCATTCATTATCACGCCGGGGACACCACCATTTTCAAGATGCAAGCTAGCTGGAACGTACCTATCACAAATGTCGACTCTGACTGGGCTGGCGATAAAAGTTCAAGACGTTCTACTACAGGTTACTTGACAACTATCTTTGGTGGGGCCATATCTTGGAGGTCTCGTTTGCAACAAACAGTTGCACTTTCTTCAACAGAAGCGGAGTACCGCGCCACAACTGAAGCTGGTCAAGAAACTCAATGGTTACGAAACTTATTTCGCGATGTTGGTCTTGAGTACTCTGGCCCAATCAACATTAACTGCGACAACTTGGGAGCATTGGATCTGGCATCTAACGCGGTGCACCATGGAAGGACCAAGCACATCGAAATTGAACATCATTGGATACGTGAACAGGTCAATCAGGGTCAAATCAATTTAGTTTATTGCAAGTCCTCCGAGATGACAGCGGACTTGCTAACAAAACCTTTGCATCCTGGGCCGTTTTGGGAGCATATGAAGGGGGTAGGATTAAGAAGATGTGTCTAATTTGTGTCTTGATTGAGGGGGTGTGTCGAAATACAATCAAGACACTTACCCTGACCGTTGTATGACGGACGTATGGTAGCGGTTTTTGGAGTTGGATTTAGGTTTCTTTCGTTTTTGTTATCAGAGATGTTTTAGTGTTTGTGATCTTTGTAGACGAGTCAAGAAAAGTGTCTTGTACATCTTTCCCAATAACGTTGTTGTTCATCTTTCCCAATATTTTATTTTGATCTTTTTCACTTCTATGTATAGCAAGGCTCGGTTCTCAATCTCCCTCTCTTTCCTCATCTTTTGGAAAGAGAGTGAGTACCTTTTTGCCTTTTTCACTATACACGTTATCTTACTAATATATCTATATGTGTTAGAAATCCTTAAGATCATCATCTTCGAGCTTTCGAGTTCTTTATAAAAGTTTTCTCATCACTTATATTTTCCTCCTGCTATCTAGGTACATTTTATTTCTCTCATACGCTCTTTTATTATGTCCTGTCTTCTCATGTCTCTTATTTCTTTTCTACTTGTCTTTAGGTTAGTTCCTTAGAGGTCTGCATACCTCGAGCTGGAGAAGAGTGCTTACCTTTAGCACTGGTTTATTAGGTTAGTTAACAAGTAATAAATAATATCTTTTGGAAAGAGAAAATCCTTAAGATCATCATCTTCGAGCTTTCGAGTTCTTTATAAAAGTTTTCTCATCACTTATATTTTCCTCCTGCTATCTAGGTTAGTTCCTTAGAGGTCTGCATACCTCGAGCTGGAGAAGAGTGCTTACCTTTAGCACTGGTTTATTAGGTGTTCTCATTCATTTACAAAAGCTTGTAAAATCAGACTGGATCAATTATCCAACTTTTTAGCTGATGATGAAAACAGTCCAATTCAAAGATTTACTCCTATTGGAGAAGACTCTGATTCAGTTACATGATTGTATAACTATTGTATCCTTACCTAGAACTTCATTAGAATCAATTCAATTTCATCAAATCCTGAGAACAATGCAAGGTCAACATGCTCTTTCCTTTCATTGGAATAATTCTGTTTATATAATCATTATCTGACGGCCTTTTTTACTTCTATCCAATTGGCTTTACAGATGACAAAAGTTATCATGAAGCCCATGGTAATGCTTACAAGAAATATGGTATTAATCCAAATTGAGGTTGCATGATTGTTGTTCCAGATCAACATGTTTCTTGAATTCTATATCTGAATGATCATATTGCTTTGAGTAAGTTTACTAATCACCTAATCCAGAAACTTATAAATGCTCATTTTTTACCAATTATTTTTCAGGGTTCTTCACTTTCATTTCTTGAGCAATTTATGAGCTTGCCTCATCCTACTTCAAGTTATAAATCAAGTCCATTTCCAATTAGATAACTCAAAGGTTGTGTTTTCTCCCCATTTATCTGTTTTTACATCATCTTATCACAATATCCTTTTTTGACTCCTTGTTGTTTGTCAACATCAATGTAATTTTGAAACTAGTTTTATGATTGTCAAGGTTTTCAAAAGACAAATGCACCCAGAGTTATGCTCAATCAAGTTCCTCTGAGATTTGGTTTGAAGATCAAGTGATTGAAGAATTCATATTAGCTTTTATTGGTTGGTGAAGTTTTTGTAGTGGAATTCCTTTTCAAGTTAACTTTTTGCTACCAATAAGAAGATTTTCTGCACTTTACCACTATATACAGTCAAACCTGTTGTATGGCATACCTTTATATTGGCTTAACCTGCCCACTTGCATACATTTCTGCCTGGACAACCATTGTCATGGCCAAATTATGCCTTCTCTGTATAACACCTTATGGCATACTTTTTTTGGACATTAGTAAGGTGTTAAGGCATGAAATACCCAAGAATAGTGTACTGTTGGCCCACATTTGGCTGATAAAGTGATAGATATTTCATCAAATGTTATTGGTTCCTTTCATTCCCTTTCATTTGCACCCTTGATCCCAATCAAAACTCAATTCAAAAAGCAATGGAGTCTACCCAAAATTTGTCCTCTCACAAAAATCCTGTCTTATGTGACATGAAAATATGTGACTATAGGTATAATTTTGAAGTCATACAATCATGCTATATGACATTACTCTGTCATATGGCTTAACCTGCTATAAGGCATACTAAATTGGTTGGACCAAGGGGTATGCCTTATGACAGGTTTTGTACCAGTGCAAATGTAATTTCCCCGAGGAACAAATGATCACATTTGGTGCAATACATAATCAAAAATGCTGATTTAATGCATTTACAATCATCTGTTGTTCCAAATGCAATCAACTCTCCCAGAATCAAAGATTATGTATATCCTTGATGTTCAAAAATTCTGACTTGTCTTGACCAATTCCCATCACCGGTGATCCCCATCCTTATCCTCTATAGCCTGCGGAGGACTTTGCAAGCGGAGGGGGGACTTTAACCCAAGCTTTCAACTGTGGACTCATCTTATGGGTTGACCTGGGTTGACTTACGGAGAAACTGAGAATTGCTGGCATCTTGAATTAATCATTTATGAACCAAAGTGTGATAGTTCGAGCAATTAATCATGCGCTAAAGCCTGGTCGATTGTTATATCCGAGTGCCTGCTTTTGTTGAAAGTGACGTCACTTGAGTGACCAAAGCTAGCGACTGAGGGCCACCTTGTTCACCTTTCTGTTTGAGCAAAGTAGTTGCATCGGTCCATCCAGAATAAGATTTCCAATCGTCGGAATAGCAATTCTCGTACATCCATAACAAAAAACCCCTTTCATGATGACTCAAACTTGCATCGATCAACCCGAATCAAAATCTCAAATGCTATCCACTCAACCTGGTGCTATTAGTCCCATGTCACTATCATTGCCAGTCGCACCAGACGGTAAACAGAAAGACGGTAAGCAGCATTCTTCTATTTTTCATGAATTTGTGTTCGTATACTCACCAGCTATTTTCTGGTATCGGTCTGACATACAATGGTCGTTGTAGAAGAGCCGCCTTCGAAAGATGGGCCTGTGTCACGTATAGTTTTACGCCTTAGGGGTGGTGAAGGTCATCACGCCTGTGCAGAATGTTGCTGGTGAGTACGATCGCTCTGTCTTGACGGTTTTCATCGATTTCCCAGATCATCTTTTACTCCTATCTGAGACATACCTCTTTTGTTTCGCTCTTTTCTTCGACCAAAACAACCTGCCCTGTAGCTTCATGTGCATCTGTTGCGGTGAGTAAACCAGTGTATACCTCGCCCCAAGAGCTTGTGCTACCATGTACGGAAGCCTGAAGAGGATAGGATGCTTCAACACATTCGAGGTTCACATCCTGGTATCCAACTCGAAGTAACTTGATAACCACAGTGGGACAGAGAGACTTCAAATTGAATGACACGAGGCAATCCTTGAACGCGCTGAGTCATCTTATCCGGCATCCAAGTTAATTCAAATTGGATACTTGGATACTCTCCTTGAACGTATTGGATGCTTTCGTCTTCTTCAGACTTCTGTACATGATAGCATCGTTTTCCCAAAAATGTACATCTGATCATATTCTTTCTCCTAATTCGTGTTCAGGACTCGAGGAACTGTGCTGTATTGGCACTTTGGATGAGTGCTTCGGCATGTGCTGTTGATCTCATCAAGTCTGACTACCCCCCCACTCGCAGATTTATGTTGAGATCGTAGAGAAGCATTACCATTGGCTCATCTTGCTGACCAACTCATTTCTGATGTTTGATGTGTCCCCAAACAGTCCATTCTGACGGTGATCAAGAGATGCCTTATTTTCATAGGGGGTGATCTCCGCATCTGTGGCACGTGTCAAATCAACGGTTTAAGGAACCCTTGCTCATACTATGCAATGCTACTAATTGTGCGAAATACATCTCAATTTTCCCTCTTTATGTAATCTTTGCGGTCCTGTCCAATGGTCCAAATCCATATTTCTGTACCAACAATTAACTTTTCTGTGGCAATGTTAATTAACTTTGCTGTGGCAATATTATCTCCCGTCATGGGTAAGAAATCTTAGTGCGTTCACCGTGTATTTCTTTCTGGAATCTCAGCGTGGTATCAACATGAGATTTTAGGATTAACAGGTGAGCTATGCATCTTCCGAACATTTTCTAGAAAGCAAACCTGTACACACTTTCTAGTATCTTGTTCAGAGTGATTCGAAGGATCTTGACCTCCCACAGCTCAAGTCATTAGGGAACCACCTTACTCCCAGAGGCTTTGGGGGTAAGTGCTTCTGACTGGTTGGAGAAGTATCAAGATCTTGCAGCTTGAGCAAAAGTCAAATTGAACCCAGTCACGAGTTCCGCCGTGTTCTAAACACTACTGCATTGGGCAGTTTTTAACTAAAACATACAGCGTGAAGAGAGTGGCCAGCTGGGCCATGAATAGGCCACACACTTCGATCCTTTGATTCACCATATCTTACATTCCACCGAGTAATGAAGGCAAGTCGAACAGTTCCAGCAAATTGGACACACCCTTTCGAGATCCAAAGCTCAATTCATCCAGATATGTCAAGTCATGGCGGGGTCAGAGGGATGTCGATGCACTGGACTAAGAGTTCAGCAGATTGATTGATATGATTAAAGAAGTGTCAGTAGGCGATACGCTCAAAGGATGTTCGATTTCTGAAGTGTAGTCAGAAGACCATGAGTGGCTGACGCATTATCTAGACATTGTGATTCTTGAACTCGATTATTCATGACTTTTCATAAGTTGGTGCCTCAGATCTCTTCTCCGCTTCTTGTCGAGCCCAAGTAGTAATCCTAATTGAAAAGTAAACAACGAAATTAGAAAAATTGATCGACATTAGCATCGGCCATTATGACAGCTCTTGTACCTCCCAATTGAGACTCAATGAAAACAAAGAAGGTGACTTACGATCTATCTGGTTTGTAAATATGCATAAGAATACCTAATGCAGTGGTACCCCAAAATCCAATATACCAGGTTAATTCCCAATCTTCTCTAACTCGTTTTTCTCCAGGCTTCAATGGTTTTTCTCCAAAAAGCCAACCTGAAGGTTGATCTGTTGTAGAATGAATATCGATATCGTAGGTGAGATTCGGAGCAGGGTTCCAAAGACGTGGGGTTTGGAATTTTGCATGATCGGATAAGTTAAAGTGATTTCAAAAGAAGGAGATCCCAATGTCAATTCATCAATGACAGATGTTGACCTTTGGGTCATAGAGATAGAAACCAAATGAGATCGAACAAACTGTAATGAGGACTACCGGAAGCAGATCGTGTGCTATGAGTTAAGGAATCGAGACGAGCTGATCGTCTCAGTGGTTTTGAAAGTATCGAAGTGATCATCTTGGTCGGTTTGATTGTCTTTACTTTGATGATGTTGATGTTGAGAGAGACTTGAAGTGGTGTATGCGGAATTTCGGATGCGATTTGGACCGAAAATGATATCTGGATGGTGCGGCGTGCCGGGCCCTGTGCAGGCCTTGCGCGCATAATCAAGGCGTGTGCGCCAGTGGCTTCTAAAAGCAGGCATAGGTGCTTGCACGCGTCTGGTTGAGATTCACACATGTGACACTTATCGTGACTCATGTCAACCTCTCAAGAATCTCAATTGGGTGGAAAACAGTCGTGACTCCTGGGCCTAAGTGAGAAATGAATAAACTCGCTGTGATGAGCTTCAAAGTTACTGAGAGAATGACTGAACAAAAAATTTGTGAAACCAATTTTGATTTCAATAGAAGTTTATAAAAAACTCAAAAAAAGTCTTCTATGTTTTTTGCTCGTTGCGTTCAAAATTCTTGATGGCTCAAAAATGAAGAAAATACATATTCGCAGTATATCTTGGTGACATTTAAAATTTCTTGATACCCAAGTTGCATCTCACCTCCAAATACCTGGACCTCAACATGGGAAGTGTTCATGATCAATTATCCTAAATTGGATGAACTGTTCTCAAAGGGAAATTACGAGAAGGCAGTAGACAAAGGTTGTAGAAGGCCTTCATCATGATCAATGGTATCATAAGCTACTGCATAAAACTCACGCGAGAAGCTGTTATGATCAGTTTCTTCATCGGGAACCACATTTGTCAGGGGTAGAGCTATGCTGATGGAAAATTTGTTGGTTAGGCTTTTTTGGTTAAGCTTGCAAATGTACATTTTGAATTTTGATATGTTGGAAGGAGAATCACTCAATAATCATGTGCGTCATTTCCGTAGATTTTCTCAGGGGCTTATTTTGGGCAGAGAACTGAGCATATGCCTATTGGAATTTCCGGGGATGATTCAGCCTGCATGGTAAACGAACACACAATAGCGGTGTACAAACCTACGACCCAACTTGAAAACCCATGAGAAAAACCCATGAAAACCCAACTTGTTTTTGGGTTTTTTTGACGGGTTTTTTCTCATGGGTTGAAATTGGCTAGATTTGACCACCCATCAAAGAAAGAAAATTAGCTGAGTCCAACATCCCCCTTCCTTGCCGACACAACACCTCCAAACTGTCCAGAAACCTTCCACCAAACAGTCTTACATCCCCATCAACTCCTGGAACTCGTGCTACAAAATCTCAAGAACGAATTAGCTTCAACTCCTCCTAAGAGATGTCCAAAATGATGACGACTAATCGAGCTACCGAATTGGCCACAAAAGAAAACATCACAATCTCCAAGATGAAAGCCAAGCTGCAAAAACCTTTTTATGTAAAAGATATAACACAATTAGATTTGATTTGATTAACAAGTTCATCATTATTATAAATTCGATCTCGGTCAACTTCTTCTTCATATCGTTCAACTTTTCAATTTATCATTTTCCTCGTGAAGAAGTGATACTAGGAATAGGTGATAATGTTTTATCATCCACAGCTCCATTATTGGATTATCAAATAGTTTCATTTTTTTACCTTAATCGATCAACCAAAAATTGCAGTTAGTTCTAGAGAGTGACTTGTTTCAATCTTTTTTATTTTAATCGATTATCTTTGAATACCTTTTATTAAACTCTGCTATATAAGATCGGTTTCTTTAGTTTGTTTCAACTCTTGCAATATGAAGAAATCAAAAGAGATTGTTTTATTTCAAAGAGAAACATGTCTAAATCGACTTTTGAGAATGAGTAGACTTCTACAAGTCAGAGATTGTTTTGATTCAAATAATCTTGTCTAAATTGCTGTTGTTGGCATCAGCATCGGCATTGTACTTCATGAGGGACACCCTCATCAAACAAGCAAGTAGATTTTGAAGACAAGTCATGGATGTGGTCAATGCAAGACAAGCGATGTGAAGTAAAATCAAGGCATCAAGTGATGACAGGAACTGTGACTGTACTGTTTTAGGTTGTGATGGGGGCTGGGGTGTTCAAACCTTTTGAGGGCAACCCATCAAAAAAACCCGTCAAAAAAACCCAAAAACAAGTTGGGTTTTCATGGGTTTTTCTCATGGGTTTTCAAGTTGGGTCGTAGGTTTGTACACCGCTAATGTTGGCGGTAACTCTAGCTGAATCCCAAATTCGGGATAATCGACATCCTGAATGATCACTCGACATAAAGATCTTGTTCACGGTGTAAATAGAGAGTTGGTTCTTCCTGATTGATTGATCAAAACTGGCGACTTCTAAGGAAACCAATGTATGTAATCGATTCGGGAGTATCGAGAATCAAGCAATACTCGGGGATGTCCTCGCGTCGGCATCCTTGAGCAAAACAATAACTTTTAGAATTCAACCGAGGTGACCACCACCTTTCGCCATGATCGCCCTCAAGCCGAAACCGTATTGCGAAACTTTTACTCAGCTTGATCAGATGTCTAATTGACTAAACTTTGATAACCGAGCTGCATGCCGCGCGTAAGTTACATATCATTGCCAGTCGATCACATCACTACTGACCTCGTTAAGAACTCAAGTGTGTTCTGGAGATCCAATAACGCGCTTTTGGGTATTCTGATGTGCACCTGCGGGAGGTGTGGTTAACGCATTTGTAAGTCTTTCGTCATCGAATTTGTACTTCCTTGCGGTTGATGATTTTGGCTAACCATTCTCTTTGTCCGTAGAGTCTCCACTTTACTCTAAAACGTCTTGAATTCGAGCGCCTAATCCCCCCTTCATCCATCAACCATACCAAGTCTAAGAGTCAACCTTGACATTTCAGATCAGCTCAATTTTTTCCGTCAGAGAATTGATTGAGACTTTTGTAAGGGGGTTTTTAATCGAATCTGGCTCAACGCAAATATATCTTCTACCGTATTTAAGCCATCTGAACGCATTAGATTTCTGCCTATTAGGTTTAGACGTATTGAACTCCTTTTTCCAAAGGATAATTGACCACCGTTGGCTCTCTCGTCAAGACAAGGACCCATCCAGCATCGAATCACAACGAATCTAAGAGTAAGCACATCACTTTCGAATGGCAAATCCTTCAACTTTGAGGTTATTGATCATGGAAACCTTTTACTTCATGACAGATGTACATTTCAAGTATACGTTGGTGTCGAAATGTGTTTGCTTTGATGGTCATCCTCATCTGTTTCGCCACAAAGTCTATACTATCCATATCAAAAGTCACAGAACCACAGGAACCTACGGCTCCTGGATCTCCTATTTCAGCACATTTAATGAGCCCTGGACCACACGGTACCCTCGTCCGTCCAGAGGGTGGAAAGTTGATCAAGAGCGTTGGAAATATGGGAGTTTTGTATGTGGATTACACTAAATGTGATGATGATGAAGAAGATGGTGCAACAACAATCTCGATTGATGTGTTTCTTCGACCTACGGAAGATAATGATGGATATTCAATCACAGTGAAGTCTACCTTTTATTTTTATTTTCGAAATTTTGGACCAATCGAACACACAAGTTGAAAGGGCTTTACTGATTTTGATCTCCTTTACATTTCAGTTGGCGCGTGGTATTACCTCTCCTAGTGATGAACCTAATATTGTCGCTTTGTTCAGCTCACCCTTGGCATGTGGAAGTTACCGTTGAGTCTCCTTTGGTCTAACTAACCGCTCATTTTTTATATGACGGAAAAGGGCCACTTGATTGACTGACTTCATATTGTGATACACTTTCTTTTTGTCAATTTATTATCTCAATTTACTTTGAATAATAGGTCTTGTGATACGCGAAAATCAATTTTACAAAGGAGAACTTTTTTCTTTTCAATCAGCCGCGCCTTTGGTTCATATTCGTTGTATTCCAATTGAATAAATTTGTAAAACATCATAATATCTTTAAAGAGCTCTTCATATGTGCAGTCTGTCCGTGATGTCTGAGGCTGTAGGATATTATATTTCTAATGTTCTTTTATTATATTTCAAACTACCTTTTATTATAGATCGAGACTTCTAGAATATGTGGGCACAGGGTCATATACATCTAAATTGATTCTTTGGATCATTCAATCCCAGACAGAAATAAGTCCCTTTCATCTGTTGTGGACCTTTGATAGAAATCGATTTAATAAAATAGTTGGTGTTTTTGAACCTAATCTGAACACATGGTCTGAATGTTAGGCTTGCTGCATTGAAATTCGGATGCTTTGATGACCCCAGCTTTGTAACAGCCAGCTGGCAGCATTCTCACTGGCCTTTTACCGGCAAGTTTTTGTTTCAAAGTGGTGTCTCACATTCCTGCTTCACGGCCTCCAGCCGCACTGTGAGAAGAGGGTGCAAAGTCACAAAAGATTTAGGACAAGATTTATGGGACTGCATGTATTTCACACATTCTAAATTTGAATTTGCTGAGCTTGGAAGTTAAGAAAGGTCTGCTTAACTCAACAACCACTTCCGCAAGAGGCAGGCTAGTGAATATCATGTGAGGGTTTCATTTGTTGTCAGGTAGCTCAACGAGGCTCAGCTCACCAGATTTCCCATATTCTATCCTGAACAGTAGTGATGATATCTACATTGTTAACTTCCACTAGCCTTTTTGATTCAATAAGGATCCTATTCTTGCCCTTCAGCACCTTTTTTATTGCCTACATGACAGTGACATGGTCAAATGTGTTGGTCTTTGTTGACCTCAATCCAAAGTGACAGATCAAAGGGAAGAGACTGTGTGGGCTGTGTGAGTCCAGAATGATAGATAAGCAAGATTGAAGGCCGTGGGTTGATCCTGAAGATACATACATATGTATGAGTCAGGGTGAGTCAAACACATTTGGTTGGCTTTCAATCTTAGAAATCATATGGTAAGCTCAAGAAAAGCATAAAGATGAACATGCTAATTGTTGAACTGTTGGATATCTTATGAACGTGGTACAACTTGAGTTCTGAACTTCTGATGGAAGCATTGATGTTGTAGTGAATTACGGTACTCAAAGCAAGTATGTGGGTGTACATACTTTTTCCCACATACTTTTTTGTGTTGTTTTTGAAACTATGTGCGGCTGGCAAAAGTATTTTTTTTTCCTTCGGCAAATTTAACTGACACCGCCTGACAGGCTGAGACCCTCACCCAGTTGAGTTTCCCCTCACCCCCACCATGTCCGATCATCCCCCTCCAACACCGAACTTAAACAACTCGTGCATCTACTCAACTAATGCACCGATCCACTCTCAAAATCTCAATAACTCCCAAAACCCTCCAGCAACTCCCATCAACTTAAACTCGAGCGACGTCGTATGGGTCTGCGCAAACACCAACACTACTAATCCAGCCACCCCTCTGCAGCTTATATCCTATCCTCACCCCTCTTCCTATATCTCCTCACCTTCTCCAGTCATCTTGGCTTATCCTGGATCTCAGTCTCTTCAGCAAGCCATACCACCTGCTCCTTCGGTACCGAACTTGACATCTACTGTATCATCGACCCCTGCTGTGATGGGGCCAACTTCCGATAAGCCCAAGAGAAAACCGCGTGGATCTGGCACTCGCACTTCAAAGAAGAATAGTAAGAATTCTTCTTCGGCTTCAGCTTCAACTACTCAAGCATCAGTTCAAGGGATTTCAACCGCACCATCATCAGTTCAAGACACCTCAGGTGCGATATCATCAGTCGAAGGTTTGACCGCTGAACCACCTGTACAAAACACTTCAATCAAGCAGTCACCGGTTGAAGACAATTCCACCTCTCAAAACCCAGTTCAAGACGATTCAACCACTCAAAAACAAATCTCGTGGGTGAAAGATACAAATGAAGATGGCAAATCAATGCTTGATTTGATAGTCGAGTGGTTATGTTTCACGTGGGGTGATCAAGATTCTCCCAATGACTCGGAGTGGATGTGCATGGAGAGCTACAATACCGAAGCAACTAATTACTCACGATATCGCATGGGTATTCCAAAAAAGAAAGAATGTGCAGAAAGGTGTGGTAAGTTCCTCTCGGCAAAGGGTTTCAGTGGATTCGCCTGGGCTGGTGTTAAACAGCAGGTGTGTCCTTTTTTCTTTTCCTTTGAAACACTGGTTCACCCAAAATTTATGATGTTTTCTTTTTAGATTGATATCTTGGAGCGTAAATTCCATGGGGCCGATGACTGGCGTACAGGAACCGGTGGTGGAGTGATGATGATTGAGAATACCAAGGCCGAAATTGTCGCACTACGTGAAACTGACCAATGGTCTCCCGAGTTGGAGGAAGAAATGAGGGAGTCGACTGCTAAAACAACCAAAGGTTAGTGATGTTTTTCCATGAAATTGTGGGAATGTGTTGCTGACTTCACCTACTTAGACATTTTACTTAGTAAATGTTCTTACTACGATGTCCTCCTTCCGATCATGAGCAATCGTCCTAGCAATGAACCTATGAACGCAGCTGAAACCGGTATGATCAACTCGAACGCTTCAACACAACTGTCGGACGGCCCTGTCGAAGAAACCTTATCGACTCAATACTCTGGGTGGGATCAAACTCAATCAATTGATATCAGCAATGTCGAATTACGCCGAGTTCTTGAGGACGACAACCTCCTCAATAACAATGAAGTGGCCCTCCAAGAACCCTCTAGCTCAACACCCCTTCAACGCACTGATAGCTCTCCATCTGTCACTCAATCGAAATCAAACTCACGAGCCGCTTTTAGTCCAGCCAACAACTTATCCAAGAACGATTTTTCAAGACGCAATTTAGGAGGCTCGGGGATACTCAAATCATTTCAATCATCATTACCTACTCAAGCCGATTTCAAACAGATGAATGAAAACAATAAGGCAGCCAATGAAAATCAAAAACTCATGATGGAGCAAGTAGCTGGAGCGACCCATGGGATGGCCAGTTTGATTGAATCACGCTTTGGAAATTCAAACTTAAACAATAAACGACCAATTGAAGAAGAAGATTTGACACCTGAGGCGATAGAAAGAAGACAAGCTAAGAAGAAGAAACAAGACGAGCTTGAGATTTTGAAATTGGATCGTGAATTAGCTCAGGAGCGTAGAGCGTTGGAAGATCACACGCAAGGGTCAGGCCTTTCGAAGCTTGAATTAGCTCGCGAAAAAATCTCGATGATTGCCAAACTTTCGGCATCAACCATTCCATTTAACAAGGCTGAACGGATGGCTCAGGCTGCGCTTGACGATTTGAAATAAAGGCCTCAGTTTCCCCTTTTTCGATCGTCTTTGGTTGTTTTGATGGTGAATGATCTGTTTGTATTAGTTATCTACCACTAGTTAACTACCCAAAAAAATCAAAATAAAAGTCTTGTCTCTTCAAAACATCAAATTTTCCACAAATGTTTACAAATTTGATTGCTTTCTCTTTGGTTGTTCTAAAAAAATTGCCTTCAAAAGTTATACAAAAAAATTGTTTTTTTCTTTCAGATTATCTAAACCTAGTGAAAGTTTGATTAAAATAGTCTAAAAGGACGTGGTATTTGAGACTTTTTCACTCAGATATATTTGAAATGAAAATCGTGTTTTCTCGCCCGAACTTGAGCTCACATCTCTCAACAACCTGATTCTCAGATGTCTTTTTGAACCACTTATTGTTGGAGAAAGCAATTGAAGATGTTGTGATTACGCTGGCATTTACAAGATGATGACACCAGGAATTTATAACATAGAAACTCTTGTAAGATACAAGAGGTTTAAGCGCAAACACAACTTCTGGAAAAATTTGAAAAAAGTACTTATATTTGAGCTATCCAATTGATCAGACTTAAAACGAAGTGAGTTATGAACACAAAGGTAAAGATGATTTTGAGGCAGAGACTAATGTCGAAGTTCTCGAAAAATCCGAAATTCTTCCAGGAGTGAGTTTCGCCTGAGGTATGCCGTGTTTCGTCCCAAACCCAAAGGCAATTGGTCACCAACACCATCACCCTGTCCGATTCGCACCTCAGGATTTGGCGGATGATCTGGAGTCCAAATATCGTTATATTTAATTGAATAGTTGTGTAGTGTGCAGCACACGCGGAGCCAGTCGGTCGCCTGTGTTGCTGAATGCACATCCTTGATGAGGATCCGCAAGTCTTGCAAAGACTGAAATCAAAGCTTAAGTTGCCCATTACCGTGTTCACTAACAACCCTTTGTTCACTTAGAGCCCGGTTGAAGTCCCTTTTCAAAGGAGATAAGTGTTGTAATCGAGGGCTTTTGAACGTGGGAATGATATTCTTTGAGCAAGAATAACCAGAGTCGGCCAAGAGATATTCGTTCTCGCCAAAATACTGATCTAAATTTTGTGCAAGCTAAACAAAAGTGGTCAGTTTCAAATCATGATCGAAAAAATTATCAACTTACATGAGTTGAATTATACACCCGTTGGTCGTGAGCACTACCACACCACCCGTGTTTGGCATAAATGATTCGACCTCGATGGTCACTGACTAACAACGTGTTGAGTGCATAGATATGCTTTCGAGTCCAAAAATCTTCGGGATTTTTGACAGGTGCAAACGAAAGAGGGATGAGGGTCCCATCGATACAACCTACACAGTCTTTAAAAAAAGACCTGCGCCCAAAATACTGCTTGATTTCGTTTCTTTCGTCTTGAGGGGGCCAGTAAACATACTCGTTTTCTAGTTTTAAGATTGCTTCAAAACATCGATGCGTGAAATTGTGAACGGATCCTTCTATAAGAAGACCAAGGGTCAGTATGGTCACTTGGAAACTGCATATTTGTAACATACCACTTATACCAAACGTCCGCCCTATCATATAAGCACTACCACCGTTCCCGCTATGACCCAGCCTGTACAAAGTGACCATCAACTGCCATTCAACAGGGGCTTGAGGGTTAGAGGCGTTGTTGTGGAATACGAGATCTTCTCGGATGAGACCAGCCAATCGGTAGAAGTTCTTTTTGGACATCCGTGCCTGGGTGAGTTACATGCACAAAGTCAGAAACTTCATTTGCAGAGTGTGATTGGGAAAAAAAGGAACATACATGTCGGAGAAAGTTTCTTTCGGTCCCATTGAAAACTCCATTGAATTTTAGATTTTGAAGGGTTGTAAGTCGGTTATGAATTCTTGGTGCAACATATCGGATGTGAATAAGTTCTTCGAAAGCTTGACCAATTGCTAAAGCCATCTTGAAAGTGTGTTGATGAATCGCTTGCTGTAACGTAGTGAAAGCATGTAGGTCACAGCTGGATTTGAGGAAAATGTTGAACGCTTGAATGAGGGAGAGCGAAGAGAAGAGGAAGACTTCTTCGGAGTCGTCCATCAACATCAAAGCGGTAGTAGTGACCAATTCAAGGTGAAGGCAGGCGTGTAGAGCAAAGCAAGAGGGGGGCTGTGAAGTGGATTGAAGGACAGATAAGACCTGTGCAGAGGCTTTACCGAGCTCCACAGAAATATCGTGCCTTTGGCCAGTTCGAGGCATGATGAACACCAATTGGCATATGAAGGAACAGGAATGAAAAAGAAAAGTATGTTTGGGGTCCTCAAAGCGACATAGCTCTGGACCCAAACATACTTTTTTTTTCCCCGCCAAAAAAAAACTCAAAAAGTATGTGGGAAAAAGTATGTACACCCACATACTTGCTTTGAGTACCGTAAATATGACAGATATAAACCTCTAGAAACCAGGAATGTCATCGGACTTACCTACATTCAAACTTTGGCACATTTCGGATACCAATTTCAAACTTCCTCAATCATCCTGGTCATCATGAAGCACAAATGAAAGTCTTCTTGCATTTGTACCTCCATCAAACTTCAAATATGGCTTTTAGCTAGATCAACCTCAAGTTTTTAAACACGGGAGAACTACGAAATTGTATTCTGCTGTGTTAAAGAGCAGGTCTCGTGTGTCATGATGTGAACGGCTGTTCTCCGTTTGTTGATAAATTATTTGGAGTTTGTGTTTATCATGCAGGCGGTGGAATTTACAAACTTTAGTGGTCAAAAGAGTTGCTCGATATCGATCTGGAAGGGAATCTGAACAACCACAAGGATACGGATCGGAATCAGTCAAATCCTTTGCTTCATGAGTGAGGTTCTCTGCACTTGATTTTGTCCTGGACTACAAGGTTGAGATGAGGTTTGAGAACTTGAAGTGTCAATCTATTTTGGATTTTGCCAAGGTATTTCAATTGATTTTCTTGCCATCCTCAACACCATTGAACCAATGACCCCCTGAAATGATCTGAGACTATTTGAGACCAACAACTGATTTGGACTTGAACCTGTTCGATTTCATTTTGACCACATTCTTTACATAATCTGACTTTCATTTTTGGGATTTTACCCTTTTTGATATAAAAACACCCTACCTTCTCATTTTGATTGCTTTTTCCTTTCCCTCAGCAAATCTGATTTTTTAACTCTTCTTCGCACGATACTACTTTTCCACTTTTCTTATCGATCTCAATCTAAAACTACATCCAACTTTATTTGATAATCATCACCCAGTTGGACATCATTTACCCTCGATTAAAGACTCAAGAAGATCAGTTTCTATCAAATTAAGGTCATCGCTTAGAATTGCTTGACTCATCTGCATACAATCGAATCTTCTCATTTCTTCAAATTCCAAATTCATCATCATCTTCCTTTTACATTCCATCACTTTCTACACTTCATTCATCGAATCGGATACCATATCCTACTTGAACATACCATCATCATTCCGTCAGTGTTGATGATACTCTATGTAACCGTTTCAATTCTTTCACTCGCTCACATTCATTTCACTTCCCTTCTCTGTTCAGATTCGATCACCTCCACATACTTCAACCTCTCGAGAATCATCCTCCAATACAATGTCTTCTCAGCCATCTACAGCCCCAACCACCTCCGCATCGAGCGTTGCGCCGCTTCAACTCATCGTACGTATTCCTTCTTCTCTCTTCCTTCGTTTTCCTTCTCGCTGATCCGAACCGATCTCTCTTTACCTTCATCAGAGTGATTCGGCCAGCACTTATGCCCGCCCAACACCCCCAGACGAACCGGTGGTCTTTTTCTCGGCCCTACGAACTCGTCGGCCTATGGTACCCTTCCGATCATTCTCGGCTCACACACCTACCATCACGCCTCGCTTCAACACCGGTAACTCTCATGAACCGCTAAAGTCTATGTGTGAAGCTAAGGAGACAAAATCCGAGGAACGCAAGCCTCAAATAACCATGTCGGCCGACAAGAGAGAAAGGATCCTGAAGTGGATCGAGGCTTCTTGTGTAAAGCTTGAGGAATGAAGAAGACTTACTTTCTAACAGTCAACTTCAACTTATTCCCACCATATGGATGGTTCCACTACATAACTTCTTTTTGATTTCTTATTGGTTCACTTGCATCCTCATATCTTTATGATTTTTAGATTTGTTGTTGAAACAGGACCAAATGCATACTAAATAGATTAGATTCTAGACTTTCTTTTCTTTTCATTCTCTTCATTTTTCATATTCTTTCACTTTATAATTTGATTTGTAAACTTTCTCTTTTTCTTTTTTTTCTCTCCCATTCTTGATAATGTTTTGCTTGGTTTTTTTTTCAATTTTGATTATCATTGGAACTCATCAACACACACAAAAAAAAATGGAAGTTTGTCAATATGTGATAGAATCAGAATTTTGTTGTAAAGCACTTTGGCACCTTTCTAGGGGCTTATCTTTGGTCCTCTTCTCTCACTAATGATGATATTGTTGTTTGTGAAAAATAATCTGATTTGAGCTCTTCCATCTTTGGAACTGAACAAAAGGGAGAAGAATTGCAACATAGTTTTAAGACTTGAGAGTATGGTTGAGCGCACAAAGTCATTTAGGAAGCTTGGAGGCTTTCACGGCCGAGTATGGGTCATTTTCATACCTTGATCGCATGTCTAAATCTCTGTGCGGCAAATATATATGGCGGAGTCTTAGGGCGGGCTTCAGGATGATTTTATCCTGGTGATCAAGGACTGTGATTGACTCATGTCAGCCATGCAAGAGGTCACCTTGAGAGCTTTTGCGTTAGTCCACAGCCATCCTCCCCAGTTCTCGAGGAATCGTTTTCTTTGTCTTTCATTGATGTTTTTCATGAGTGATCATATTTCCTAGTCCGGATAGTATCAACCTTGGTACTCAAATTCCAAACATTCCATACAAATGGTCCACTTGTATGAAAGTCTCACAAAATCGATCCCATTCGGATAGACTGAAAATTTGGTGAAGATGGATGCCTTGACTCCAATTACTTGCGCTCTCTTTTCGAGAATGCGTAGATTAGTATGTTCCGAGATACGCCCACAAACAAATGCACATATGATTGGATTTCGAATTTGTTTCGTTCTTTGTCAAATTGTTATACATCGGAACAGATACTATGATTTTATACTTTATATAGCTACTCAAATCGACAATTTGGATGCTAATTGAAACAAAGCTTGGTAAAAACAAAACAGTATTGAATTCTGAAGGATCAAAATGTAAAATCAAAATGTAAAAGGTAAACGTTAAAAGTGAAATCGAAAATAACAAAACATCATCAAATCATCAATACTTGAAGATTTCAAAACACATCAATGAGTAATAGATTTCAACTTTTCTAATAATTTTCCAGCTTTAAGATTGTATACTTCCATCTTTTTGAAATGTACCTGTTTGGCTTGTGCAAGTGCTTTACTCTTAACACCATCTTTTTCTAAAGTTTGTAATTGTGATAATTTTTGTGCAAGGTTCCATTCTTTTAAAGCTGATGAACGTACTCTAGAAATCAAAATCTTGGTATAAAATTTTGAAACTCGATTAAGTAATCTTTGTAATCCAGTCTTTACGTTCTTAACGAGATATCCTAAATTTCCAATTCCCATGTTAACCTTACTTCCAGCTTCTACACCAGTCTTGCCTACTTCTGTTACGGTTCCTGTTAATTCTGATAGTTTTCCTTCATCTGCTGCTCCAGGTTTTATTTCAGGACCTGGAGAAAGTTCGAAGGGATCGAGTTTAGACCGACCCGGAGCAACCGCTTTAGATCTAGACAGCTTAGGGACTTCCAGTACGGAGCTTTCTGGGATGGTGTAGAGGTTGGGTACATTCTTTGCTATCTTGCCCGCATCTAAGCCCCCTAGGGATGTACTACGTCCGCCTTGTGCTGCCAAGTGACCGAGATCAGCGGCTTCACCAAAGAGTGCTGGGTTCGGGTGTGGGATAGGACTACTGATGACTATTTGAGCACTGAATAACCAAAGAACTGCCAAGGCCAAGTAAAATTGGAAGGAAAGGAGATTCTTGATGATTCTTTGAGAGGTGTCGCTCATGGTGTTGAATGTGATTTGTTTGAATTGGTATTGAACGATAAGTGTGTGCACGCAGTGTTGCTGAATGACTAGATGTCGAATGAAGTAATTGAACTCGCTTGCGAGGTCGTCAAGAGTCCAAAGTAAAAGAAATTTATAAAGAAGCGAAAAAGTTGGGCTGATCTCAGATGGACCTCAATGAATGTAAGAAGCGCGAAAGACGGGGTGAGATGAAATCTGGATGAACATTCAACGGAAGGAGAGTCATACCTCAATTCCGAATGGCTCAAACAGTGATATGCTCGGGAAAGAAACCCACTTGCTCCAGGGTGCGAGTGTGTGACAAAAGGGTTAGGAATCCTGCAGAGAGAACGTCATTCTGTATCATTCTAATGATCAGGGTCCTATGTCTTCGTCATCGACCCCCTGTCCATTCCATGGTTTTGAAAATGTATTATAAGCCGTGAAACATAAGACCCTCCTGGTTACTAGGTATCGGAAATGGTGCTATGTATGTCAAAGAGAAGGTCACGTCAAACTTAACCAAGTTCTATCTCTGGACGTGCCAGCCGCTGGGCAGATGTGATGTGAACAGCCATTCTCGCTTTGTCTCTTTGAGAAGGCGTCGAGTACATGAATGAAATTCGGATTTGTTTGTGGTGTCAAATTGTCAAAAGTTATCACACATGCTATGATTGTTCACTAAATAGTTATCCAAATGAGTTACATAGCAATCAATATTTAACAAAGCTGGGAATAAAACAAAATAGAGTAGAAATAATCAAAAGGTAAAAGTCAAAAGTAAATGGGAAGAAACGATCACATCCTTCAAATCTTCAATACTTGAGAACTTCAATTTTTTTTTATTAGACGATAGGTTTTAACTTTTGTTTTAGTTGTTCAGCTTTAAGATCATATTCTTGACTCTTAGTAAAATGTAGATTTTTCAATTCTAAAAGTTTTTGACGACTAAGGAAATCTTTTTGAAAATTTTCGTATTTTGATAATTGTTGTCCTATGTTCCATTCTTTCTTTGCTAATCCATGTGATCTTTGAATTAAAAGTTTAGTATAAAAGTTTGAAACTCGATTAAATAAATTTTGTAATCCAATTTGAACATTCTTGAGAGCGTATTTTATATTTTCAATCCCTTTATTAACCTTACTTCCAACTCCTAGTCCAGTTTTACCAGATTCTAATCCGACTTCTTTCAATTCTGATGGTTTTGATCCTTTAACTGGTGTCTCGACTTCGGGAGTTGAAAAACGTTCGAAAGGATTGAATCCAGCATTAGTCTGAGGAACGTGACTCGTTCTAGAACTGGCCAAGGAAATCCGGCCTTCTTCTGCATTCTTTGCTAGCTTGCCCGCATCTAAACCCCCTAGGGATGTACTACGGCCTCCTTGTGCTGCTAAGTGACCGATATCAGCGGCTTCACCAAAGAGTGCTGGGTTCGGGTGTGGAATAGGACTACTGATGACTATTTGAGCACTGAATAGCCAAAGAAATGCCAAGGCAAGGTAAAATTGAGAGGATAGGAGATTGTTGATGGCCTTTCGAGAAGTCGCGCTCATGGTTTTGATTTGAATTGGTGTAGATCGATGGGGTTCTACGTCGTGTTGAATTAATGAGTGCCAAATGAACTAATCCCACTCGCTCGCGAGATCGTCAAGAGTGTGAAGTAAAAGAAGGAAATGAGATAAGTAGTAAAGAAATTGAGCTAATTTCCGATGAGCCTTGGTAAATGTGGTGATCGCGAGAGATGGCCGGAGGATCGTGTCTGGAGCGGCCTCCAGAGCACCCAGATAGGAGTGGTTCATAAGGAACTCAAAGCTCAAACATTGGTATACCTGTAAAGGTACCCACTTGCTCGAGAGAGTGATGGTGTGACAAGAGTCAAAATCCACAAGGGAGGGTCTGGGAGGATGCGTGGGTAGTTCATTCCGCATCATTCTGAATTCTGACTAGGAATTCATCATTGGACCCCTACATATCATCTTACTTATATAGTTTTGGAGATATATCATCAGCCGGATGAAGTGGGAGCATCCGCAACGGTCCACCTCTTGTGGAGGCTCTCGCACATTTAGGGGGTTGAAACGCGAAAAACAGCTCCAGCAGTCCTGGCAAAGCAAAGTCGAACGCGTACAGTCGAACCCGCGCAATTGCATACCCGTCCAGTTGCATATTCGGTCATTTTGCATAGGCCAGGGCTTCGTCCGACTTGGTGCGGGTCAAAATTTAGGTTTATACACCACGGAGGGGCTTTGAGTCTAGAAATGGCCTTTCTCAGTCTGAGAATGGTCATTCCTGAGGGCCACCTGTAGACCGGCTGGCAGGCCATCGATCGGCGGCCCACTGACCGCCTGAAGATGGACAAGAGAAATCAAGGCCGTAGTCGGCCTCTGGGCCATTGTCAGACCAAATACGCGGTGGCGGCCTGTCTGCCTGCTAATTTTGTCAAACCTTTGCAAAAAAAACGATCAATGACCTGGAAAGAAGGTTGCCAAGTGTAGTTTTTACATGATATCATTGTCAAGTTTGAGTCTGGAGGACATCAAGAGGCGCTAATCACTCGTGAAACCAATAACACGATATGATTGGTGTCTTTCGTGATGATCCTGGCTCAGGTTTGAACTCGGAGTCGCTTGTTTTTGTATATAATTATACGAAGTAACAAATCCTTCATGGAAATTCTGAAGTATCTGCTTGAGGACTACGACCACCGTGTGCAAACAGGTGATGTAACATTTGTTGCCGCGCGCTGACGTATACATCAGCCCCGCGTGTGAGACAGTGCGTGCAACAGTTGTCCATAATTTTGCTACAGCCGCCCCGCGCGCAACAGCTCAAGATCTCACACCTCCTACATATGTATATGCAATTGTCAATCCCTCAACAACTGATTACCATGCCCTCACAACCAACATCAAATGACTTACAGTTACAGTCGCTACAGAATCATAGTCAAACAAAGATCAAACCCCACCTAACCCTCACCCAAAGCTCATAGCAATAAACCTAGTAAAGGAGATATGGTTAGTGAACGAATCAAATAGGAAGAAGAAGCCGAGGTAAGTCCTCTTAATTTTTTCTTGGTTCTTTTTCTCAGAAATTTATTCTTTCTATGTCTGGCTCTTTCAGTTCTGGTGGCAGTGGGAATTGAAGCTCAATACCAACATTCAGCGGCAATGGTCTTGGAGATTGGCCAAAAGCCAAAAGAAATGAAATCACACAAACTTAACGTTAAGATCAAACTCATCATCATCGATCCATCATGATTAACAATTTCTCAAAATTAAACAAAACCAATTTCTATTAACATTTATTCCATTTCAAGAGGAACTCCATCACATTCACGATTTAACACTTCTTCTAACAATGAAACTCAAAATCCTGGATCTAAAACAATCACTATAACATCATCATCATCAGAAAATCAAACTCATCGTTCATATCATCAATCTCAACACCCTTGAAATTCAGTTTGAATCCTGAGAGCTTATCCATTCATCAAGAATCCAACTCTAGTTCGTCAAACTAAAGTTCGATGCAGTGAGAATGTAACAAATAATGAAGGTTTAGGTAGAAAGAGATCTGAAGGTATCCAAATCCAAATTCAAATCAACTCATCTTTCTTTGTTCTGTTTTAATGATTTGATTAATTAGTTTGTTGTATTTATAAAAAAACCCAGAGCATTTGATGAATCATCAGATGAATCAGATGACAATTCTGTATCAGATTGTTGTCAACATTCTTCTGATACTCAATCAATTCAATCTGAATCAATTCTAATTGATTGAATCTCCATCAATTCCAATCAATTCAATCCCAACCAATTCTTATCGATTCATCTCATTCACATTTGACTGAGCAGCATAGCTCAACTAGCTCAACTGCTTGATCACCCCCCACAACTGTAGGCACAAATTCTTCCCAGTCAAATGACAGCTACTCAAGGTGAAGTTCTTAAACGAATACTTGGTGCTTATGATGTCGTATCTATATCTTATTTGATTTGATTCGTGTATTTGATATGTATGTATTTAAGTCCGAGTAATATCAACTGAAAAATTGACCAAAAGTACGTTATTGAAGTTATCACAATGAGACAACAAATATAAAAGTTATAGACGGCAGTAACATATTGAGCTGTTTTTTCTTCGGCTTATACATAACCTCAAGTCCAAGAATGATGGCACAGATTAAACCAAGAGCATTTGGCCATACTACAATTGAACAGAAAAGACTAAAATATCAGAAACCTTCAAAATCTTCAAAATTGTTATATGGTTTGAATCAAAAAGGATCATTTTTATGCAAGTGCAAATTGGTATCAAAGATAGGTGATCACTTTTTTGTGATCTGTTTGGTTGCCCTTGCTTTTTTTCATTTGAGTTTGTGCTCTTGATTTTTGTGCATATCATTGGCATCAAGAGTCTAGAGATGTAATTGCTGGGTCTAATTGGTTCAATCAGCTTGGGTTGGTGGTTTATCAAATGTCTGGCCCAAAAATCTAACATGAGGTGCAGTGTGGGAACGTTCTACATAGCTGTATGTTTGCAAGGCAGCTGTCGCATAAACATGGGCAGCTGTCGCACACACTGTCTCACACGCAGGGCTTGTGTATACGTCAGCGCGACACAACAAATGTTACGTCACCTGTTTGCACGTGGTGGACATGGTTCTGTCCTTAATGTACATACTGTGTACAACTGCTTTTTTGATGGACGGAAGGCAGATCACAGCCCGCCAGCGGGCGCAAGCAAGCCAGCCTACCGGCACGTGCCCGGATTCTACTTTGTATCCCCTACAATGGTTTTTTTGGCTTCTTTTTCCTTTGCTTTTGTACAGATCTTTTGTTAATGAAAGAGAAAAACCTGGAGAAAAAAAAGTAAGAGAAAAAGAGGTTCTATTTTGACCAAAAATTGTCAGAATCCAGGACAAAAAAAACAATGAATGGAGATAAGCTTTTTTTAGCCAAATTGTCCCTGTTTTTGGAAATTCAGGGACATGATTCAAGAATTTTAAGGCTGGTTACGAGATTACACTGCAAATATAATGTGTTTCTCCGAAGTGAAAAATGATTGCACTTAATGCACAAAATGATTAATGATGCAGATTTAATGCAGAAAAATGCAGATTTAATGTAGATTTAATGCACTTTTAATCATTTTTTGAATGAAATGTAATCATTTTTCACCGTGGAGAAACACATTATATTTGCAGTGTTAGGGCGGTTCAAGAAGGAAATAGCAAACAGCCTCAACACAGAGTGTTGAACCGGTTTTTTAAGGTTGGCCGAGCCATAAAATTTGGTTTTGCAACTTCACAAACACCTTAAATATAAGTTTTAAGTGATGGTAAAATCAGGTACAACATTACTCAACCACCCAAAAAAAAAACTCTTGGCTTCAACTTCCTTTTTCTTTCTTTCTTTCATTTTGGTGATTTGATATTCTTTTTTTAGTGCTCAATGCTGGGAACACCAGACACGTTACACTACACCAAATGTAATCTTTACCGGGCGGTAAAGAAAACATTTTGTGTAGTGTACACTGTGAACATCATTCAACTTCCCCAAGTTGGAAGAGGAAAATGATTAATAGTACAGTGGCGTCATGATGAGTATTTTTTTGTATTTTACACGCAGATATTGGTTTATGTACTAACAATAAACGCTGAAAATCATCAAAAACTTACATGTAACAATACCTGAAATTTGGGTCATGAGTATGAAGACAATATTTTGTGGTCTGAAAACTTCAATAACTTTTGCAATTCTGCTCCAAGTAACTCGATTTTTGGTTCATTCAAAAGCTGAACTATTCTCCTTCACACTTCATAATGTTAGTAAGGTGCTATCTAGTCATTTAAACACTCTACATATGTTCAAACAGTTCTGCATGAATATCTCTGTAGGATCTTTTTGAGACCAGCTACAGATGTGATGTCTGAATGAAAAATGTAGAGGAAAGGCTCACCTTTTTAATGCACTTCAAATCGAGTGATTTGATTCAGAACTGCAAAAGTTATTGATGTTTGAAGATTTCAAAATCCTGTCTTCAAAATCAAGGGCCAAATTTCAGGTATTGTTACAGGTGGGTTTTTGATGATTCTCAGCCTTTATTGTTAGTACATTAACCAATGTCCGTGTGTAAAATACAAAAAAATACTCATCATGACGCTCTAACATCTAGGAACAAGGTGCATATTTTTTCAGATTTTTAGCTCTCTTCCTGTTGCCTCAGGACTTTTCTATGTCAGTAGTTTTCTTTACCGCCAGGTAAAGATTACATTTTGTGTAGTGTACACTGTGAACATCATTCAACTTCCCCAAGTTGGAAGAGGAAAATGATTAATAGTACAGTTTGTCATAAAAGGATCCAATACTGCACACCTGAGACATAACACCCACACTACATATGTGCAGCAAGCTAAGTAAATAGTTATCTATCATGTACATACAGGTCTGCTCAGTTTTTTGCCCATCAGAATAAATAAATCACATGTTATACCACATGTAACTTTTTTGACCTTGGAAAAATTGTCGCAAAAATTCACTACATATAATGCTGTAGCTGCTCAGGCAATATTACTGAAGCTGTTTCATAGTAACAGAAAGGGTGTTACATGCAGTTGAGTTGATGAGATCACACCAAAACACTGGGTGGGTGTATGTAGTCAATCTTTTGAATACTTTTGTCAATCTGAAAAAAGTTACAGCATGTATTACATATGAATAACTTATGCTGATGAGCAGATAACTGAGCAGAACTGTATGTACATGATAACCACCTATTCACTGAGCCTGTTGCACATATGTAGTGTGTGTGTTCTGGCTTAGGTGTGGAGTGATAGATCATTTTATGACAAATCATACTCCCAATCATTTTTTCCTGCCCACTTGGGGAAGCCGAATAATGTTTGCAGTGGTATAGTGGTGAAGGGATGTGATAGGTCAAGCGACAACACAGACCCAGCCAGTCAGGCCAACTCAAGATTTCAATCCAAAATGATCAATGTCATTTTGATCACAGGTTTGGGCTTGCGTTGAGCCTACATCAGCAGTAATGAACTTTAGGTGATCAGTAACAACACTGGTATAGACCTTTTGGTCAGTATTCCTTTACCTCACATCGCTCAGTCAGTTGCTTATTGCAATGTTTATGCCATCAATTGGGTTGACTGTGACCTTTGCACAACTCCTGTCATTTACAGTAGGATGTGAGTGTCTTTGGTCTTTTGTGTACATCACTGTAGACCCATGAGAGTGGGAGGAATCCAGGTCACGTTGTCCGCAGGTAAGTACATGGCTAAAAAAACAAATTTGCATACAAGCATGGTGCTAGGGCTGTATGATGCCTTTACTGGGACTTCTCAGGTGGACTCTGATAATTCTCAGCAAAAATACAAAAGTCCAATGTACCCCCACAGAGGATGTGATTGGGGAACTTGGGATAACAAATGATAGAACAGTCAATTCAAGAGAAAAATCACAACGACTACTCAGTTGGACAAACAAAGCCAGGGACACATCAAGGAAATTAACACTGCAGTCAATAAAAGATAAGATTACGAAGTAAGAAAGAGTGGGTAACTTGGGATAACAAATGACAGAGCAGTTGAATCAAAATAACAATAACAACGACTACTCAGTTGGACATATAAATATACCAATGATACACTGAAAGATATGATTGGAAACACCTTGAGAAATAATGGCATTTGAGCCAAGGAGTTTCGACTTTGTCAGATGTTGAAACTGTTGGGTTTCTGAAAAGGATGAAACATACTTACAACTTTCGCATACAATTCCACCTTACAACTTTTGAAAACAATTGCACCCATTGTTACTGTTGCGTAGGATATACCAGAGCAAGGTAAGCCTCAAGTTCCTGCGGGGTCTTCCCTTCCATCACCAATCTTTCACAGAATGACTTTTGTTCCTTGTGTTCCTCTTGCGAGATTCTTCTGGCTTTGGCCTCACATTTTTCTTCATGGTCAGGAAATAACTTTCCTTAGCCCAGCTGAGGTCTGACACTTGAGCATACAATTCCTGGTCCGCTTTGATTTGAGTCGATTCCAGTTGTTGATGAACTGCACTAGCTTTGATGACCATCTTGAGCCTGGTTTTGTTACCTTGCTGTATCACCCAGGCAAGGGCATGTTTATGCTCTTTGCTGTGAACGTGGGATGGATCAATCGAGGGAAGGGGCTCTAAACCTCGGTGTGACAAGGTTGAACGTGCTACACCACGTTTGGATCCTCCTTGAGTAGCTGGGGTCGCGGTGGTTGTCAGAGAGTCATCATCAGAGTTGTCCAAAGCTCGTTCTTCTGCAGTGAGGGGTGCAGCTTTGGTGACACATCTCTTGGTGGCCTTGTGGTAAGATTGACTATCATCCTTGGATGCATCTAGGCTAGGTATTCGGTGAGGAGGTTCATCGTCAGAGTCGTCCAATGTGTGTTCCTCTGCAGTAAGAGGCGCCGTCTTGGTGACACGTTTCTTGGGGGATTGACAATAAACCCGGGTCGGTTGATTTTCCACGGTTTTGGCTTGAGAGAGGGCAGGGGGTCGGCAAGCAGTTGGTCCTTTGGAGTCTCCTTGGTTGAATCATCTGGGGTGGGTGGAGGTGAACTGAATTGGTTGTTGATGAAATCGCGATAGCGTTTGTTGATTGGTTTATTGAAGTGCTTAGCAGGCTCATTAGGCGACCTGAGTGTTTTTTTTGTCAACTTGAGGCTCATCAACGCCAGGTTCCCCAATGTCTACGTCTGGCATGTTTGAAGGATTGGCCGTGATCATAGGTAAGGGGAGCCCTAGATGTTCAAAAGAAGAGAGCCATCAGCAAGAAGTGCGAGATCACTGGATGTGAACCCAAAATCAAAATAGACATCCAAACTGACCATGATTGTGGCCATTGGTTGTTTCTCCATCGTCACTTTCATCATCATTGTTGTTGTATGCACCAATGCCAACTTCACTGTCATCGTCAGAATCCAGACCACTGTTGAGAATACCAAACGGGGTAACATTGCCTTTGTCCCTGAAGAGGACATCCATGTTGCTGTAACAGGGACACATGGAATCAAGCAACTCCTCCATGGTATGTATTCCAGCCATGCAATTCTTTGCAGACAGGCCACTGCCTGTTTTCAGGCTAAATTTCTTTGCAAGGATGTATTTTGACTTGTAGTGTTTGAGACGCAGGTACAGAACTCAACCGTTAAGGCACATATTTGTGGTATTGTGCCAAATGTTATAGTTGTTGTTGAGTTCAATAGCAAGAGGATTCAACAGAGACTGGGGACTCATTGGAAGTCCGGACACCCTAGTCTGACTACCAGCCCCAAAGAGAGCTTGACAGATATGTGGTTTGGATAGGTAAGTAATGATTGTTTGATAGTCAATGCAATCTAAAGGCGGGCTATCCTTTGACGTCTTGCTTGAACCGGATGGCACTATAGATTGACTTTGAGTGTGTGCTACCGCGGCCAGTCGGGAGTGTTTGACAGTAACCACATTGGGTTTTGAGGCCACAGGCAGTCCAGAAGCGATCAATTCCGCATTAATCTGAGCCCTTGTTCGGCAAGACCTAGGTGCCTATTGGAGGACCAAAAAATTGGTCAGTTTTCAAAACCAAGAAACCAAGAATCAGTTGACTTAGAAAATGACATACTTTTCTGTTTGGCTGAGTCTTCGGAGGCATTATGATATAGACTGCAACAACAGAGAGCAAGAACCAGTAAGATGATTGCAAGGATGATGATGACAATGGATTTGCCTGGCGATCCAATTGGCAATTAAGCAGGTAGCAGTAGGCAAAAGTAAATAGCAAAAACAGGAAGATCCAAAAGTCAAGCGTGGAAAAGAATGAAATCTGAAAATGTTGAGCCTGGAGAATCTCAAAGCGGAAATCTGAGAACACACACCTTAAGTATTTGCCTGAAATCATATGTGGCATCAAGGGCATGTTTGAAGCCGGTGCGCTTGTTCTGTCATGGTGTGAGATACAGTCAAAGCTTGATGATCGTCCTGATAAGCAGGTCAGTTTGCAAAACAACTTGCAACCTTCAAAATGATGCCATAGAGCAATAGTCCTAGGTACAGGCAATTAACATGCCCGTCCTGATACAATCGTTCCAGAGCCGCCATCGTGTGAGTGCTGGATCAATAAGAAAAGTAATTTGAAAGTCATATTTGGTGAAAGATGGTGTGGATGTGCAATTGCAAGGTTGGCCATGGCAAACACAGCATCAACAAACGGGCTCCAACACGGATACAATGTCAAAATGGGTCCAATGTTGGCAATTGGGGAAAAGATGGGCCACTGTTGTTCAATACAATTTGTTAATGTAAGAGGAAACTATCAAAAGAACAGCAAAACAAAAAAAACATTGGCAAGAAAAAAACAGATGTTGAACTTCAAGGGACGCCTAAAAAAACAGGGACAAAAGAAAGATTTTTTTCTGGGGAAATGTTCCTGTTGCTTGCAACAAGTTTATAAATTTTAAGACAGATGAGGAGTTTACAAAATGGTGAACCACCTCTAAAGGTGGTTCACAAACTTAGACTTTTACTTAAAATTTAAAGTCGCCGAACCAAACTTAAAACTTAAAAAATGGCTGTAAAACCCCTTCTTGAACCACCTTATTGCACAACTGTGGACCACCTCTAAAGGTGGTACAGTTAAAATTTATAGAGCCCAAACAAAATGTAAAATATAAAAATGGGCTGTAAAAGCCCTTATTGAACCACCCTAATAACACTACACAAAATATGATATTTTCCGGGCAGAAAATATAAATACTGACACACAAAAATATTGAGCAGTCAGGAGGGGAGAGAAAAATACAAAAAGATATGCACATTAGTGGCTCTCAAACCTGCCCTGGTTTTCAAAAAACCCAGTTGACCCAGTTGTTTTTTGGCAGTAACTTTGTGTATCAAGTTGACATTTGTTGACAGCTCCCAGCCAAAAATTCCACTGGGTCAGGTTTGAGAGCCACTATTGTTCCTATGGTTGAGGCATTTGATTTAAGTATTTTTTTGAATTTTTAGTGTGAAAATTGTTGATTGTACTAACAAAAAACCTCCAGGATCATTGGATTACAACCTGTAAGAGATATTGGAATTTGGCCAATGGGTGACAAGGGGATAATTTGAATTCAACTATTGCTTGTATCTTTTTCAATTCTTGGCCAAACCACCCAATTTTTGGTTCATTGCAAAGCTAACCGCTGTGACTATATCTTTCATTCAGACAGGAAAGCTGCATCTGATTCCAGAAAAACTCTATGTGGCAATATATGAAATAGATTCAAGGACAAATAACTTTTTTTGCAGCAGAGCTACAGATTTGATGCAGCGACGTAAAATTTGAATGAAGTCCATGGCTTTCTAATGAACTAATTATCCAGTGTTTTGACCAAGAATTGCAAAAGATATGAAGGATCTTACAATTGAAATTATCCCCTTGTCATCCATGAGCCAAATTCCAATATCTGTTACAGGTTGTAATCTGATGATCCTGCAGGTTTTTTGTCAGTACAGTCAACAATTTTCACACTAAAAATACAAAAAAATACTCAAAACAAAGGTCTCAACCATAGGAACAATATGCATATTTTTTTGTATTTTCCTCTCTCTTCCTGACTGCTCAATATTTTTGCGTGTCAGTATTTGTATTTTCCGCCCGGAAAATATTATATTTTGTGGAGTGTAATGCATAGGTTCAATTTTAAAAAACCGGATCTCTGTAGCCAAAAAGCATAGCTTTCCAAGGAGGATTAACCTTTGAACCAAATTAAACTAAGATGGATGACCCAGAAGAACCTTCTCTGGCTGTTGAGCCCCTCAAGCTTGACCACCTGAACCCCATACATGTCACAAAGATTGTCAACATCATTTATTTTGCATTGAGTCCTCTCCTTCCGGCCACTTTCTCACCCATTCTGAACTCAGAGGAGCACAAACTCCATTTACTCAAGAAAGGGCTTCAAACTTTGAAAGATGCCTCAAGAAAGCAATGTGACAAGATTGAATCTTGCCAAGATGCTGGTGAAGAGATCTCCACGGCCAACAATGAATGGCTTGATCCAAGTGGTAATTTGATAACAGACAAATCCTAATTGACAAACTGCTTGTTGCAAAAGATAATGAACCTTACTGCTTTGCATACCACAAATATCAAGCTATTTGATCTATAATCGAATCTTATCAATATACTTTAGTTGAAGTGGCTGCAAAGAAAATGAACAGAGGCAAAAAGGATCCAACTGCTGATGACCTCAGCAAAGGTCAGGGAAAGCGGCCTTATTTTCATCTTTTGAAACCAGTCCAATCACAACATTTGTATTGAAACTCAGAAAAACACAAGGAAAGTCTTACTTACAATCAACAATTAGAAGTAATTGATTGGTATTATGCAAACGGGGAAAGTCAGACTAAGACTTACCTTTACTTCTCAAAGATTCATCACAAAATGGGAATCAGTCAACCTAATATCTTGCGTTAGCTCAAAGACAAAGACTTGATTTGCAAGATCTCCTCCAATGTTGGTCCTCAAACTAAACAAAAGGCCAATGTCAAGTTTCCCAACATTGAGGAACTTCTTGTCAATTGGTGCTGTATGTGCAAGCAGACTGGCCAATTTGTTACCAGTGAACAAATCAAGGAAAAGTGGCACCACTTTGCTCAAATCAAAAACATTGGCAGCAAGAATTGGCTTACCCTCAGTGGTGGATGGCTTGAATCATTCAAAAACAGACATGGCCTTTGGGGATTCAAGTGGCATGGCAAGGCTGGATATGCTAAACCAGAAACTGTTAAAGCCAAAAGAGATCAAATCAAGGTGATTGTAGCTGAATACAGACCAAGTGATATCTACAATATGGACGAGACTGGCTTGTTTTACGCATAAGTGCTTTTTGTTTATCTGTCTCTTCCTTCGGCATGTCTTCTCACACTTTTTCTGCGTCTGTCACAGGATGCCACCAGACCAAGGCTTAGCAAGTGTCAGCACTTCTGGTGTGAAAGGCTCCCAAGCCAGAATCACTGTTCTGTGCGTCTGTAACACTGATGGATCCAACAAGCAATATCTCACCTTTATTGGTTGATGGAAATCACCGTGATGCTCCAATGAAAAAAACCCAGCCAGCCTGAGAATTGACTATTATTTCAATGCCACATCATGGATGACATCTTTTATCTTTGAGATGTGGATTCGTACCTGGGACCAACAACTCCAAGCTGACAAGAGGAAGATCTTGCTGTTACTCAATAACTTTGCTGGTCATAAGATTGAAGAGAATCAACTCAGTGGATTGGAAATTTTGCAGATATTGATAAGTGAGTTATCTGTTTCCTTTCAGTAAATCAAGACACCCTATTATTTTACTCACACATGGTTTTTGAATGGTCACTGCTCTTGAATAATTTTATACTTCTGTCACATCAAATGATATATGAAGTTGAGTTTAGCCAGTAAATATTTACCTTCAAACAAAATCAACACTTGGGTGATCCCCACCTCTTTTGAGAATGAAGGGCAGATATCTGTAAATACCAATAGCCCACCATAAGAATATATCTGTGATTAGATCCTGTCAAAAGACATGATCAATTAGGTTGTACAGAACCTTATCCTTTCTCTCACTATTTTGTTGCACTCCATCAATATGGTATGTATAGTAGTGTACATTTAGATTGATGCAATTCAGAATTAAAGTGGGCATGTTAGAAGGCAATGTTGAGTTGTAATATACATTTTTCAATGTGAACTGTTCTCAGTAACCTTCAGTGGGATACCCAAGAAAGTCCCACAATTGCTCCTTGTGACTCACTAGGAGCAAGCACAGGACTTTGCTGAGTATACTTCAGCAGGCAGGCATGCCTATTCCCTAGTCTACTGATGTCAAATCTAAAAATAAATGTTGGATTTTGCTTCCTGATTCCAAAGAAGCCTTTCATTGTCTTTTCAAAAATCATGCCGAGTGGCTGGGAAAAGTTGAATAATACTAGGTATGCACCAGCAGAATCAAGGTATGAGATACAAACTGAACCAACAATAGTGATGGCACATATCCTAGTTAAAAAAACATAGACAAAAGCCAATTTATCCATTGATTCACTCAATTGTGAAGACATGATCAAAAAACATGAGCCATGTTCCAGACTCAGCCCAACTAGATTCTCACCAAGTATCCCAAACAGCTTCCTTCAATATCAACACAAATATTCCCACCGCACAACCTGATGAAGACTTTAATTTGTAGATGATACAAGAAATAAGAATATTGAAAAAAAACTGTGATGTGCTTGATTGTGGCCAAAAGTGTTGGTGTTCAATTGACTCAATGAAGAATTGTAGAGTATTATAAGATGTTGAAGAATTGAATAAGATCAATGTAGAGTTGGATTAGTAAAGAAGAGGTGTTGGAGTTAAATCACAGATTTACATGAAGATGTCATCAAATTAGGAGATGATGACAAAAGGGAAATCCTTTGCCCCAATTATTCAAATTGAATACTTATAGAAAAATGCTTCATTTCATGTCGTTTCTCTTTCCCCATCTTTGGAAAGAGAAACATATGTAACTTTTAATCTTGTTTTCACTATTGTTTTCCTTTATAATTGATTATAAACTAATTTGTGTCAAAACATAGTTGTCTTTCTCCAGATCATTTAGCTCACTATCATCTTGTGTGCTTTATCTATACAAACTTATTTGTCAGGTACTTATCATATCATATGTCTAATTACAAAATCCATAGCTTGTTCCTTTATGTTATATGGTTGTGTTTTCTTATCAGTGTTTACGTCAGAGATTCTTCCATATATAGGAGATCTATCCGTGTGATATTATCTAATATCAAAGCGCATATCAGAGTGCATCTCAGACTTTCAGTAGGTTATCTTCACAAGGGTGTACTCCAAAACATGTGGACATTTTCATGGTAGCAAGAGATACA